ATCCATCCATCCATCCATCCATCCATCCATCCATCCATCCATCCATCCATCCATCCTTCTCTCCACCCAGCCATCAGTTTGTAGTCTCCCAGTGCTGCTGAAACAGAAACACCACAAGTGGGTGACGTTGTTCATTTTAAGCCTTGTCCTGTGGATGAGGCGCAGGGCTACAGAGCAGAGCACAGGACTGACAGTCGACAGTTCGCACCCACTTTGCTTCAGTGCGTCCATCATAATCTCTTGATGTCCCCTTGCTTACTCCACGTCCTCCCTGCGTCCCCTGTCTCCATTCCTCCTTCCGTCCCTTTGCTCTGGAGTTGGTCCTGGGTCAATGCTGCCCTAGTGATCACAGTGGATGATGATGCCAACAAGGGGGCGCGTTCAGTTTCAGACCCGAAGGGTGACAAAGGGCCCCGGCCGTCTCTATCCAATCAGTAAGCCTGGTCTCTTCTATGAGTTTGAGTTTTACTCCACACTTTCCTCCCACTCAAACCAGGCCCCTCTACTGTCGGGGTGAGGGGGTCCCCAACACTCGGACGGGTCCTCAGGAGCGACTTTGCGATTGTGGAAAATATTAAAGACAGACAGCGGGGCACAGGGGCTTCTTGTCCCAAGTCAGGGCTGAGAGAGAGAATGTATTTTCCAATGGGTACACAGAGTGGGCTAACAGATCTGTCATAAGGCAAGCATGTCATACAGCTAACATCAGACATAATTAATAGGTAATATCATAAGCAGGTAACACAATAAACAAGCAATAAGATGAGTCAGTGTCTTGACGTATTGCTAGCTGACCTCAACGCCCCTGACCCCTCCCCAGGAGATTGCAACATGTATGGTGGGTAGGCTATAGAACCTGATTGCTTTTATCTACAGAAAACCTTTAGGCACTGTGAAGTAGCCTAACAGATGATGATTCATCTTAGACAGTTGCTTTATGGGGGGTTATTGGAGGGACTGTGTCCAGTCCAGAGAATGTATATTAAGATTTGTTTATATCTCATAACCATGAGAGTCTTCCCCCCACCAGAAACAGCTTTCCAGACCTGTAATTATGAGCATGGATGACTTAGCCGCAAGACCTTCTCATCCAGGCCCTCAGTTTACCACACTCTACTGTGATCCTTTCCAGACCAATTGGTAGTGGTAGCCGGGCACCCTCTAGTTCTCCTGGTCTCGGGGTTGTGAGACTGATGTCTGCGTGGTCCATCAGTCGTCTGTCTTCTGATGTCCACCCAGGGTGTGTTTCCCTCTGGGAGGGCAGAGGTCAAGTTCGTGACTTTGGAGAGCATTTGCATTTTTCACGGTGCTGGAGGCTGACGTCCAAGCCGTGTCTCAGCCATGGTGATTTCCCCTGGTTGATAGCGCCGTGTTTCTGGGCTCCTTGGTGACCCTCATGTGGCGTCCGTCCGTCCGTCCGTCTCCCCCAGGTGGGCTATTGCTGTCTCCGGGTCTACGCTGCTCCTAGCTCAGCAGTGCTCAGGTCCGGGATTCGCCTGTGAGCAGAACCAGAAAGCCCTCTTCCTAGACGGAATGACAGTCCCAAGTGTGGGGGCTTCGAGCTACATACGCATTTCCAGCGACACATCGCCCGGTCCCCCCTTCTTTTCATCCACATCATCCATCTAGTCATCGTCCATCCGTGCCTCTTACCATGATCTAGTCACCCTCCTCTTCCTATGCCTTCATCTTCCCTCCTTTCTTCCATCCATCCACCTACCCACTCCCCCCGGGACGTGCACCAGGCCCGGTGTAGGGGCTACCAACGGCAGGTGCCACAGTCTCCACCACCTCCAATCGGGGGACCGTCTCGGTGACACAACCAGAGCCTTGTGGGGGGCACAGCCCTAGAGCGGAGCACCAGGCAGGAGGAGACCGGTAAGCGAGGTCTGGGCGAGGCAGGGGCGGGGGCTAAGGAAGGTTTCCTGGAACAGAAACCCCTCAAGTCAGAGCTAAAGAACGAGGAGGTGCTGGGGGCCAGTAGAAGGGTGCTCCGGGCAGAAACAAGCCAGTGCTGAAGCCCAGAGGCACAGTGTGGAGCGCTGGGGATGACTCTGGACGCTGAGCAGGTTGGACAGATGGCAGGCTTCCACTGTGGAGCATCTGGACTGAAGCTGCGGGGCAAGGAGTCTGTCGTGGGCTGAGGCTCCGACTCTCCACCACTCACCGGCCCTGCTGCCACCCTTGGAGCCCGGCCAAACCTTCCACCAGCCGTCCAGCGGCAGACTGTCAGAATGCCAGGGGATCTTCACCAGAACAGGGCGGCGAGAGTGAGGGACGCACACTCTCTCAGCAACAGAACAAAACAAGTCGGGCTGCTGAGCCTCACTGTGTCTGGGCTCTTCTGCTTCCTGGTTATGGGCATCCAACTGGTCAGGTCCTTACTGAGCTTGTCCGTCTCTAACCTTCACATGCAGGAGAACGCCATCTCCTACAAGAGAGGCTCTCAGGTCAGGCCTCTGGGCTCAGCGTGTGGCAGGTAGCAGTGACCATTAGGTCACAGGTCCGAGTGTCTCTTGCTGAACACGAGGGAAGCTGGTTAGGAAGATGACTCCTTTGACGGAAAGCCCACACCACACTCACCACCGTCGCGTGGAGGAGACTCAGAGCCGCCCTGTCTGTCGGGCTGGGTGGACCTGCCCCTGGGTTCCCGAGACCATGACTCTGTAACTCTTGGTGGGAGTAGAAAGCCCTGTCTGTCTCCCAAGGACTGCTGACCTTGCGGCTAGAAGTGTGGGGGAGTGATGACCATGCACTTCGTGATGTGATTGAACGATAGGGGAATGATATACCAGGAGCACAGAAGGAGAGGCACTGGGAGAGTTTGCCGGGAGCAGGGAGCCCATGTCCCTTGCCCGGAGTCTGCTTCGGAAGGCCCATTGTTTTCGGTCGGGTTGCGCCCACGGCCGGCGAGTCCGCAGTAACTGGCTGAGGTCTCCGGGAGGGGACAGAACAGCCCCCAGAACCTGCGCATATGCTCTTGGTGCTTTGGAAGCAGGCTGCCACATCATTCTTCCTCGGAGCAGCCGATGGCTTTGAACCCCTGACACGTTGGCCAGCGGCTGTGCTTAACCACTGCACCACCAGGCTCCTTGGTTCAGCCAATGGATATACTGGTTCCACGGGAGCCAGTAGGGGCAGACTTGGGCTTGGCCGGGCTCTAGGGTGAAACCAGAGGGCACTTGGCCTGTGGCATGGGGGAGGGCCGAGTGGGCAGAGAGCCTGTTTTGGGTGTCAGATGGCTTTGAGAAGGCCCCCGTCTTGTCCCTGGAGACTGGCTCCCCTCAGGAGAGCCTCTGGGCAGCATGGGACCTAGGGCACCCAGGACGCAGGCTGTGATCTGGACCCAGCTGCTCCAGGAGCCCCAGTCTCAGCCAAGGGGAGAGCAGCTGCTGCAGGCGGGCGGCCATTGAGGCCTGGGGGGTGGGGGCAGGTGACCTGTCCACTGGGAGTTTTGTTCCCTTCCTGTGCAACTTGAGGTCCCAGGCAGTGAGGGCTATTGCCACCATCACCCCGTCTTCCCGATGAGGAAATGGAGGTTCAGAGAGGTTACAGGTGACACCTGAAGCGTGGCGATAGCGGGGTTGGAGAAACCACATCACCAGGTACACCGCAGGCATGCTCCCCAGGGCTTTCAGGAAAGACGCTACCAGGCGTTTCTTCGGAGGCACTTCTTGGGGGGCCTCAACGCTCCAACCTTCCATTCAGCAGCTGAGCACTGCCCAGGGATACAGTCCCTGGCCCTCCCGATTTGAAACCCTTAGACGTGATGCTCTGGCACGGGGCTAGCCACCCGGTTCCTGGGGACTGCGCTACGCCCCACGCACGCACCTGGCTTTCCGATAAGGCAGGAGCTCGCCTTGTACAACAAGCACCTGGGCGTCGACCCGTGTCTTCAGCTTTAAGTCATTAAGGATCCTATCCCACTTACAGAACGCTCTCCTTCCATATGCCTCCGAAAAGCCCTACGCTTTATGCTAAATGCAGCCCTGGCACGAACAGACCAGCCCTCTCCCCTGCACAGCCCAGCCGTGCCCTGATCCGAGGGCACCACCCCGTGGCCGCGTTTCGCCCGTGCAGGACCGGTACATCCTGAAAGACCGCATCTCCGTCTCCTGCGAGCCGGGCTACGAGCTGCTGCAGGTACGTGCAGCGCGAGGGAGCGGTGCGCGCTCCGGGCTCGCGCGCTCCCCCAGGCACGCCTGCCCGTGTGGGGAAATGCGGACGGGGCTTTCTCACACGGGAGAAGTCTGAGAAGTTGCCTGCGAACAGGAGGGATGGCTGCAGGGAATCTCCTTTTTAGCCTTAGGAATTCTGCTTCCTGAAAGCCGCTTTTGCGGGGGCGACTTCCCCTCTTGGGCATCCAGTGCATGAGTGGGTGGGGAACTGAAAGGCAGGCTTGCCCTCCTTGGTCTGTCCCCTCGGGCGAAATGAAGGTTCTTCCCTCCCCCCTTCCCGGCCACAGGATGACCTTCCGCATGCCCCAACGCCTGGGCTCACAAAAAATGAGATGGCCCTTGGAAACAGTATATTCGGCAAAGTTATAAATAGTGATCACTGTTAAGGGAGAGGGAGTATAATTTTAAAAAATGCTTAGCATGTGGCTTTAGGGGCACAGGTAAGAGATTAACACGTCCTCTTTATGGTCTTCAAAATTGTCACGGGGTCCCAGTGGTGAAAAGTAATAACATGGAAATGATAGCTGGCTAGGCAGTCCACGGTCCTGTGGAGGGGCAAAGGCAGAGTGGAGAAGAGAGCGAGCGAGCGAGCGCGACTTTCCCCACCTTGCAAAACTTCTTGGGCAGGCTCTTCCCTAGCTTCTGGGGCCACAGACCTGTGCGTGTCTGATGGAGACACTATCAGCCTGAGGCTGTGAGAAGGCTAAAGCTTCTCCCCAAGCCATCTCCCTTTCGGGTTGGATTTTAGAACAAGACAAACACACAAAATCCAAGTCAAAAAGGTTTCCCTGTGGCTGCTTCCCACACTGGGAGCGGATGAAAGACACTAGACAAGCTTGCTGAAGGATTTGCAGCTCTTCCTCCGGCAATGGCCACGGGACAGAAAGCTGAGACACCGACTCGGCTCCTTGTCTGACTAGGGGGGCTTCTGCCAGAGTAAAAACTCAAAAACCTTATGCAGTGATGAAGAAACACGGATGATCTCGGGTCAAAGCAGAAAGCAAAACAAGTCCCAGTGCGTGCTGGAGGACGCGTGGCGATAGAAGACCGCCGCTGGCCGGTGGGGCACACTGGAGCCAGCCTCAGGGGCATGCGTGGGACACATCAGAGCACATTGTGCAGAGTGGACGGGATGGCAAACACAGACATGAGTGTCTTCTGAATTCCTCCCTAGGGTTACTTGCCCCTGAAGGCATTTACTGCCGTCTGTCAGAGAGATGGAGCTTGGGACCGACCGATGCCAGAATGCAGCCGTATGGAAACCCATCACTTCTTCGTAACTTAACTGGGCTGCGATCTTGAGTTCCAGATGTGCACATTTTCCTGTCTCAGCGAACTGTTACAAGTTCACAGTAGAATCACGCTCTAGCAAGCATTTGCTTTAGAAAGTAGAATACACGTTGCAGAAAGTTACCAAGCAGACAGTGGTCACCATGAGTCCCACCAGCTGTGAGATGGCACACTCTAGCTCCTCTTTTGGTGGGTCTTATGAATTGCCGAGTCGATTCTGCTTCCCAGAGACCTCGGGGAGACCACCTGATCTGTCTTCTCAGCTGCCCAGCAGTGGCCTCAAAGGTTGATCTAATGACTTGTAGCCAAGTCCTCAGCTCTGCCACTCAGACACCCACTTGGTGGTGGTGTCAGATGCCAGCCTTGACTCATTTGTGCCGAGTTGTGATGTGGAACCAGTGCCTGGGTGTCTGTCGAGGAATCACTGGGTGGCTTCAAACCACCACCCTCCCATCTGCACCACCAGACGCCTTTATATTGGAGCCTAGCCCTCCGACAGACACACTTGCCTCTCTAGAAACATGTGCTCCGCAGGGAGGGCTAGTGGTAGTTTTGTGTGTACACCCGTCCCCCAACCTCCACCCCGTGGGGGGGCAATGGTGCATACTTTGTGGATTAAGAATTGCCCATTTTTCAATTATATTGACAAAAATCAAAATTTCAAACACACAGTGGCAAACTCTTGCTCAGCTCCCCTCATGACCACCACTGCGGCCTTTTTAAATCTTGTGTCCCATTTGCAATGTTGCGGTGGTCCCGTGGGCAATGGACAGGTGGAACCACTCATCCCGTGTCTGTGGGCACCTGGGAACCCACTGCTGTGGCCACTGCATCTACCACCCCACCACAGCAGCGTCTCCTCCCAGCGGTCTGCCCTAAGGTATTCAAGGTAACCACCTGCATGTGATAGAGGGGAACTTCAAAAAGCCCAGGGAAAGTCCTGAGCTTTTAAATCTATTTTTCCCCATGAACTTTCTGTTGGTATAGGCTCCTTACTGCAGAGTTTGAAGAACAATTAGTTGTGAGGCTGGCACAGGACCAGCAGCATCTCGCTGTGGAACAGGTCTGCTGAGTCGGAAGTGACTGGACGTCACCTAATGGCATTGTTTTCCCATTAACCCCAACATTAATGGACCCACTCGCTGTTTAGTGACGGAGTATTCTATTAAGCAGCCTTGTAATCTGATTCCTATTTTTAGTTTTTCACTTCTAATACCCATGTACAGAATGTTTCTACAAATCCCTGAATTTTAATATTCCATCTTATAAAATGCCCACCAATGAACTGTTAGGAAACCAGAGCTAGCCCGGTCTTCAGAATCCAAAGCTTGAGTTTGGGACTGCCATTTTGTGCTGGACATCTCTTCACCCATTTCCGTATCCAGATAAGAGTTAGAATACACAGCACTTGGCAGACCAGCACATAGTAGACACTTGTGGCCATTTTCAGGTAGATGCAAACTAAAGGTAACCTTTTAATGCCAGCATTACCTGTCTAGAGCTGTGTCTGAGATAGAATTTATTTTCTCTGACTAATCAGTTGCTTCATAGCATGTCCCCCAAAGCAAGCTGTTTTAACAGCTAAATCCCAAAATATTTAAAGGTCACAGTAGGGCCTTCTCAATTCAACCCACCACAAACAGCTGTTAAGAAGAGCAAGCAAAAGAAATTCTCCAGTCATTTCTGGGCCCTACATGTGGCCCCAGCCCAAGTGGGCTGCCTGGGGTCTCCTCTCCCGCAGTCGTTCGTATTCCCTCACTGCCCCCCCCCAACCCCGAGTGGCTTTCACCCCAAGCTAGTCATTTAGATGGGGTGCCGGTGAGGCTTTGAAATTACACCAGTAATTTGGAGAGATGGAGAGCGCCCAGTCCAGTCAGATGTTGTCTTAAGAACCAAGGCTCCTCCATGTCTCTTACCAGTTGTGGATTGTGGCCCTCCTGAAGACCTACCCAATGGCCGAGTTGAATATATCACGGGTCCAGAGGTGACCACTTACAAATCTCTGATTCAGTACAGCTGTACCGAAAACTTCTACACAATGAGAACCAGTAATGACGGTAAGAACAGGCTCCAAACTTGGGTGGGGGATGGGTGACACTGGAACTGAAGCCCTCTGTTTAACCAACATCTTTGGCTACTGCTAGACAAAAGATTAGAAGGCACACACCACCACCCCCTCCTGCTAAGTGAAGTATTACAGCTGGAGTGACTTTTAATGTCAATTTGCAGGAACCTGAAAACAGATCTTACCCAGTAAATGACTACTACAAACACACAATATATTCCAAATGGTTTAATTCAACAAGTCAAAAACCTTATCATTAAGCACTTGAGAGCGTGATACATATTCAAGTTATACATCTAAAAGGTTTCCACTTTGCAAGCAAACATGGTAATGCAGAGACCGCTATTTATGAAATCATGTAAAATGGTTATTCAGACACCTCTATTTCCCACAGATGCTCAAGAATCAACATTTTTCAAGGGGGTATTCAAGCAAATGACAACCACCTTATACATTCAGTTAAACATTTTTGCGTTTCCAATGATTTGCAGGTAAATATGTGTGAGAGACTGATGGATTCTGGACCAGTGCCAAAGGCGAAAAATCACTCCCAGTCTGTGAGCCAGGTAATGGATACATTTATACCCAGCTTCATAATTGATGGAGAGAAGTGGGTAGTAGAGCTTTAGCAGTGGTAGGCAGAAATGTAACTTCAGCACTTGGCTCTTAGGCCAAGTTAGTATTTCCAAATGATCTGTCCTCATTACCCCTTTGCAAACAAAGAGGTGGTTGGGTGCCGACTACACCAATCAATTAATTATTTTGGACCTTATAACTAGGCGAGCATAAAAAATTAAATGATTTTTAAAAGGATCTAAACCCACTTATACTCTTATATACATGAACTCTGCTGGCTCAATACTCTCATTCTCCATAAGTATATTATTAAAAAACAAAACTGGTCCAATGATGATTGAGAAGCTAATTTAAAAAAATGGTACCAGGTACAACAGTTAAAACAAACAAAACAAAAAAATGGATTCTTTCCCTAAGCAATTGTTTTCAATGGCACCTAAGTTTCAAACATTAATACAATTTATTTTTTACAATTTGCCTTTTTAATAGAACTTTGAAATGGTTCTGAAGATAAGCCGCCTCAGAAAGATAATATAATCATTACCTGTGTTTTTTGGCTTAGTTTAAAAATGTCTGGTTTAAGTCTGAACACAAATACCCTGATACAACAGCACATAAGCTACATTAATGAGCACAGGTAGCAAATAAAGACACAGGGAAATTTAGTGTCTGAAACAATCAACTGGATAATCAAAAAAACAATTTCTGAACCGGAATGGTCCAAGCTGTAACTATAAATTCCCAAAATCTTTTAAATGTTCAAAGCAGAAACTTTGACAGTGACCTCAATGCCTGCTTTGTGAGAATTACATGGTAAATACCCATTACACGCAGAGGAAAATAGAAGCAGTACAAGGTTATTTCCTTCCACTCTTCCACCCTGCCACCCACTGAGCATCAGCTCAATCCTCCTCCGCCCTCTTCAGTAATTCCCTGCATCTTGTAGACCATACTTGCAAAACATAAGATGCTGAAAATTAATTTCCACTCCTATTTTCTGCCGAGCTAACAAAAAAAACTATCAGGTAGTTGAATTGTGCAGTTTAAAAAACACTTCTAGGCTTTTATAAAGGTGTTACATAATCTGCTTCTTTCTCCAGTGTGTGGCCTATCAAGCCGTACTACAGGAAGTCGTATATATGGAGGGCAAAACGCAAAGCTTGGCGATTTTCCTTGGCAAGTCCTGCTGCTGGGAGAAACCAGCGCAGCAGGTGCACTCTTATATGATGAGTGGATCCTAACAGCTGCTCACGCCGTCTACGGGCAGAAAGACGATGCACCCTCTTTGGACATCAGAATGGGTGCTCTGAAGAGACTATCACCACATTACACACAAGCCTGGGCGGAAGCCATTTATGTACATGAAGACTACAGCCATGATGCCGGTTTCAACAATGACATAGCACTGATTAAGCTGAAGCACAAAGTTGTAATCAACAGCACCATCATGCCTGTCTGTCTGCCAAGTAGCAATGCAGAATCCTTCATGAGGACAAATGACATTGGAACAGCAGCTGGATGGGGATTAACCCAGAGGGGTTTTCTTGCCAGAAGCTTAAAGTATGTTGACATACCAATTGTTGACCACCAAAAATGTACTGCTGCCTATGCAAAGGACTCCTCGGCAGGGGCTAGGGTCACTGCGAACATGCTCTGTGCCGGTTTAGAGGGTGGGGGCAAGGACAGCTGCAGAGGGGACAGTGGCGGGGCTTTTGTGTTTCTAGATAACGAGACACAGCGGTGGTTTGTGGGAGGAATAGTGTCTTGGGGCTCCATTAATTGTGGGGAAGCAGGGCAGTACGGCGTCTACACCAAAGTCATTAACTACATCCCCTGGATCAATAACGTAATTAATACATTTTAATTACATATTAAAAAACCCACGAAAGAGGTTAGCAGCAGTATGGACACAGAATCTTGGGCACAGCAGCCGTCACTTGTCCAACCACAGACAAGCAAACTGTACGTCAGACGGCCATGACAGGCACAGCCTGGCCTGCCAGCCCAAGCCCGTCCCCTGTTAGACCCAAGGGGCGTAAACCAGCACGGCAATATTCTTACCAGCGCAGTGTAAGCTCACTGCCCAATTTGCATGCACTTACAATTTTCAGCATCTTTTCATACTGCCCGTGTGCATTTCGATAAACAGCCTGTTAACCTACTGCTTTGAGCTTGCTCTAAGAGTGCTTTGTATGGGACAGCAAGCTGGGTACAGGAATAACCTGCATTCACTTGGTTATAAATAAATCAGAAACAGGACACACTTCAGCCCAGGTATTGACTAATTTCCGTTTAAAAACAATCAATACCAGAAAAAAAAAGCCCCAACAGAGATCTATTTTCCCCAAGAGATGTAGTTATTCTTATTGCTGCATTGAAGACACCGGGAAAGAGCCTCAACGATGCTCACATTCAGAGAGCAGCTTCATCAAGGGCGACTGTCGTCAAGAGGAAGCACATCAACAGTGAGGTGGTGGTGTACGTAAGCCAGCGTTTTCCCTTCTTATAGGGAGCATGAACTAGTTGGGGGCCCTTAGGGTCAACAGCCCAGCGCATCAGCCGGAGAAGCAGCAAGCCTAATGCACAGGGAGGAGCCTCTCACTCAGTACTCGGCAAGTCATTCTCAGGGTCCGATCTCACAAGTTAAGAGTGATTACCTTCCCACTCCTCCACAGTAAGGACACAATACTACCTCTGACCTAATCACAACCACCAAACTTCTCTTTAGTCATTTGCCCCTCTAAATTTTTTTACATAGTTCTATTTTTAAAAGTTGCTTAGCAGAGCTAGTAGTTACAATTATATGTAAAAATTCAATGGGCGTTTTGGTCAAATTCCTCTTCTGCACATACATAGGCTTTTAAAAAAATATAACAACTTTTTAGGTCAATGTTTCCAGCATCCTTGTCATAAAAAAGAAATGTTTTTTTCCAGTAAGACTCCAGACAGTAAACTGTGGTGACAACAAAATTTTTTATTTAACTGGTTCAAAATGTTAGAATGAATGCATTTAGATGACCAGATAAGACTTTTAAATCAAAGGCAACATCGAAAGCCTTCTCTGACTGGAAACTAATGTTTACACAAGTGTAAAGAAGGGATTAAAGCCATGCCGTTGAGGAGTTAACTTACCCCTGGGTTCCTTGGAGGCTGGCTTTCCAGTTAAGTCTGTGGAGCTCCCCGAATACCATTTTTAGTGCTACCATGTTACTGCTGCTGAGTAACAGTGCAAGTGCTAAAATGCAAAATTCAGATGGTACAGGGTTTGGAAATCATGCAGATTTAGATGCAGGAAAAACAAAAACAAAACCTCAAACAACTCAAGAGCCTTTCACACAGGAAAGTGAGGAACAAATTAAGGTTGTGATCACACATCTAAAGGATGGCTTCATTGATCAATGTTTAAAACACATAACTGCACACCGACAAACCTATTTATCATCATCTAATTAGATGAAAGGTATTAGGTATGCTTTTAACACAAAAGTTGTAACATTTTTCCAATTAGAAAACGAGCCCTCAGCTCTCACAGAATTAGTTACATAAAAATGTACAAGAGCCAATGTATTATTGCTTCTACATACTTAGCAACGCTTTGTGAGAGTGAGTTTTGTGAGCGCTTTTAGTCAACAGTACTGTATCCCTCTACCTTTTGAGGACAAAGCCCATTTCACTTAGCACTTCCACAGACACACACCCACCCTACTAGTTCTGAAAAGCTGTTGGGACGCGTAATGGATTTCAAGCATAAGGTAATCTGTGGTTTCTTCTACTTTATCCTCATGGCAATTCCACTTTTCAAACCCCAAATTAGAAAGGGGCCACTATTTCTTTTTTAAACGAATATGCTTTGCTACAAAGCACGTGACAATATTAACATTGTTTTGCCCATATTTTTAGAAGGCAGGATTCCCGGCTTGGTGACTGCCCATTTCTAACATTACCCAAATGCCCAGAGGCATTGAGGAAAAGCTGGAGGGTACTGCTTACCATCTTAGGTGCGGTCACCCAGACTTATTAAAAGCTAGATTAAAAAGAGAACAAGGGAAAAAAAGAATGGCTCATCTTGAACAATGCAAGAACCAATAGCAATGACGTCTGGGAATCAGGTGTCAATGCATGACAGGGGATGAATCCATTTGACTTGAGACAACTTTTCAAATAAGTTTATTTTAAGCAAAATAAAACTACTGTCAAGAAACTATGAAAGTTCCATCTCAAAAGGGTTAAAAAAAACAACGAAATGGGGGGGGGGGAATTAACTGCTATGAATTCTTTGCATTCAGAGCTGCAAAACAAAGACACATATTATTTAAATCAGTTTTATTTAAGAATTTCCAACATTGACAACTCTTATAAAAAGCATCCAAGCACAGGACACAGAACTGCAGCAAACAGCATTCTTATGGGGAGGAGGGGGCTAACAGACATTAGAACGTCCACCCTTCTTTGAGACAGCTGAGCTCACTGGTGAACTCTGCTTCCAAGTACTCCTGCAAAGCACACCACAAGCTCAGCCCACGGTCTCCACCCATCAGCTTCAGTTCACGTTCCCACACTTACAGAGCAGGAACAGAAGAGAACACACACCAGACAGCATTCACAGCAGTTGACAAGGGGTCGGGGAGATACAAGTATCTTTTCACTTAACACATTCAACTAATAGGGGTTACCTAGGAACAAAACTCACTTAAAGTCTTCCAGCAGATGTGGATGTCCTTTGAATGCAAAAACACTCGTACGCTATTTGCTGTCATTGCTCTCTGCACACTCTCTCACCAAAGCCACAGGATGGAGAGACACATCTCGCCAAGTTAAAAATATCCATTATGCACCACCAAGTCTCTGCACGCGCTCTCTCCTTTTCTCGCTCATACTAGCCTTTCATGCCTCGGCACCACCATCAATCCCACACAAGGTTTCAAAAGTTCAAACAGCCTTCTGGTTCCATATCACAGCCTTGCGTTCATAGCGTTGATACGACTCCATGAAATAAAGAGTAGTGGATAAAAATGGGACACCCACCGTCAAAGGCGCAGCCTGTGCAGTGTGATGACGAATTCTTGAATGAGAAAGCATGTAGACAGAAGTATTCCTACGGTAGAATATTTATAGCACTACTTTCAATGAAGTGCTTCTTCCACAAACATTTGAAATGAGATGAACTGTAGAGATTAAATGAAGGCTTCTTATTGTACTTTTGTACATGAGGGGAGAGAAGCATTAAAAACAAACAAAAACAAAAGAACCAAACACCATGACCCCGGGGTCTCCAGAAAGGAGACCCTCCCAAGGAAAGCTCCATGTGGGGGTTCAAATTAAATCGAGGAGAAAAGAATGGAGTTCTAACCAATGGTTTCCATTTTGAACATGCAAAGAATTCATTTGACAAGTCCAGGGAGAAAATATTACAGGAGAAACCTTTTGATATCAATTGTAGTGTGTTGGTTTACCAATCAGGCAAACAGTTCACTTTCAGCCACTCAATACTTCAACCCTTTAAGTAACAAAACTTATAAAATTCCTTTAGCTCTTCCTTTTTTTTTTCTAAAGAAAAATGTCAAAAATACTGCTGAATATACTCCACACTGAACAAACCAATCTTGAAAATTTTTAGTACATATATATCTTACAATATACTTACCATGAGTTTAGAAAAAATTTGCGTTCCCACCAGTCCCAACCAACCACCCCCCCAGACCACACTGTCTACATTCCCCAGCCAGAGGACTTGGAATCCATGCTGGAGCCGAAGCCCCCATTAAAACCACTACCCGACCCTGCATTCGAGGATGAGCCCCAACCAATCGGGGCACCGGCATTGGAGCCACTGTAAGAGTTATTTCCAGAACCAAAGGCCTGATTAGGCTCCCTTTGCATGTTGCCTTGACTTTGGTTATTACCTGACGGGCCTGACTGGTTCTGCTGACTGGCTAGCATGCCCATCATTCCCCAACTGCTCTGCAATGCTGCTTGGGCTGCAGCCATCATTGCTGGATTAATGCTAAAAGCCCCAAAATTCATCCCCCCACCCATATTACTACCTTGATTATTTCCCAAGCCAGCCCCACCCCCTCGACTATTACCAAATCCACCCTGATTCCCAAAGCCACCTGGATTACCACCAAATCTTCCACTTCTTTCTAACTGTCTATTGTTATTGTGCTTAGGTTCAGCATTGGATATATGTACGCTGATTCCTTTAATGATCAAATCCTCTCCACAAAGAGACTGGGCAACCTATAAGAAATAAGGAATGCCAAGTAAGAGCTTATACCATTGAATCACATACAAAAGGACCAATAACATCTAGATTTCAAACCTTTACCCTAAGCTGGGGGTGGGGGTGGAGAATGACGACAATGAATGTTCACTTCATCAACCCCGCCCCCCCCCCAAAGAATCTTTAGCTTTAGTAATGGCAGCAGGAATCTTCCAATTTATTTTAAAAATAAACACACCCCAATCAATGCTATACCCTGAGAAATAAATATCTACCACAAGTTGTCTAAGAATATATGCAATGCACAACTTTACAAAGTCAGAAAATGTAGCCAAAGATGGCTATTTGCTGACTGGGAAAAGTTCAAGAGAAATTACCCAATTATCTGGGACAAAATTATGAAGAGAAAAATACCTGATCATCCGCAAATGTAACAAAGGCAAAGGCCCTGAACGGTTTGGGAATGAAGACATCCACCACTTCTCCATACTGGGAAAAGAACTGCTGTAGCTCATCAGCAGTCATATCCTCCGTACAGCGCCCGACGAACACCTTTCTGCTCCTCAGAGGCTCATCGGGGCTTTGCTGGTGAAATCAGATGGGAGTAGCATCACATAGTTTGCAGGCAACAAAAGAACATGATCACGGGAGGTGCAACAAAACGAATCTGCCCTACGAGATCAATTACTAAAAAGCAGGCACAGCCTAAAACTTTAATCAGCACACCCCTAAGAACACAGCTCAGGTGTGATGGCATCAGTGGACCCAGAGCACCCTCGTCAGGGAAACACTCTGGGGCAAAGGCCATGGCGATGTTTTCAGCAAGTCTGATGAGAAGCTAGTCTTCGTAACAAGACTGACTGTTGTTATGCTCTCTGTACACAGATGCAACACAAGAGGAATGAAAGTGATCCGAGATTTTTCAGCTGTGTTTGCTGCACATTAACATAAAATATCCAACCTACCTTCAGGCTTCAATAAGGCCAATGATTAATTTTAAGAACACACCTGTCACTTTCTTTTCAAAGGGTTATTTATGATTTTACAGTGTTTTCTAAGTCTTGGACTAATTGAAAGGTTCAAGCCCACCAGTTGCTCTATGGGAGAAACACAAGGCTGTAATGATTTAGAGCCTCTGAAACCATAGAGCAGCAGTTCTCAACCTGTGGGTCGCAACCCCTTTGGGGGTCGAATGACCCTTTTCACAGGGGCTGTCTCAGACCATCAGAAAACACAAATATTTCACAATATAGAATTACATATTGCTTTGTGATCAATCACTATGCTTTAATTATGTTTATGCTCAATTTTCAAAATGAAAATACACCCTGCATATCAGATATTTACATTACACTTCATCACAGTAGCAAAATTATACTTATGAATTAGCAACGAAAATAATGTTATGGTTGGAGGGGTCACCACAACACGAGGAACTGTATGAAAGGGTCGCAGCATTAAGAAGGTTGAGAACCGCTGACAGACAGGGTGGCCATGAGTCAGAATTGACTTGATGGCAGTGGGTGTTTGGTTTTCCTGGGGGCTCTAAGGAAGTGTGCCACCAAAAATCCTCAAAGCATAAAGAAGGAAAGATGGGAGCAAAAGTACCTTAGAATTAGGAAGCTTACAGTCACACCAACGTCCATCTATCATGTGTCGCTGTGACATGACTTTCACCTGGGTCTCGTATTCCGTGAAACGGACAAAACCAAATCCCTTTGAATGACCAGTTTTAATATCTTTCTTGACCTATAAAAGATGATTTACATTTACTCTAAGTGTACCCACGTGCACGCACACAATCAAATCAGTTCCTTGGCATACCATTTGAATGGCTTCAAGTCTAACTAGTGGCTTAATTAAAACCTAAGCCAGATTATTTATGAGCTATAAGCAACAGATGGGTTAATGGTGAATCTGAATCATGTAAACAGGAGTAAACTCATTTACGAAACAAAATTTCAACAGAAACACTTAGAATGAACGGAAAGATGAATTAGACTGCTATTGGGTTTTTTTGACCGCACTGTTTAAAAACCCTAAATTATAAAGAAGAGAAAGATAATCTTACCCACCCTCCCATTCAGCCATTCAATCATTGGGAACATAATGATTTTATATTTCCAAAGGCAAAATACACAGTGCAAGCGGCATAAAGACTAGGCCACGACACACTTCTTTTCAGCATCCTCTTTGTACACATGTAAGGTAAGACTAGAAGCACCATCTGCTGAACACCCAGGGCAGTGCCACTAGGGAATGCTAAGTTCTCGTTCAAGGGTAAAGAAACTGTTCAGTCATCTGACCTGCACCATGAGGACTTCTCCAAAAGTACTAAAGTATTCCTTCAAATCCTGCTCAGTTGTTTTCCACGGGAGACCCAACACTATCAAATCAGACGTTTTCTGGACAGCTCTCTTCACTTTCACTGCTGATGAAGCATCTGTCTCATCCATTTTTCTTTTATTATCTGAATACAACGAGCAAAAATCGTTTAGAAAACTTCATTAACACTTCCTAAAATGCACTGCACCCCCTCCTAAAGTCTAGAACAAGGCCAAAAGATAATTCTAGAGATAATAAGGACACTGAAAGTTTTGGCAACAAGTTAACTCAAGGACAAAATAAGGCCTTGACTAAATGACTGAGGGTTATTCCTGCTACAAATTCAGGAATACTCAACGGATTTTAAAAACATTTTAAGATTAAAATTGTTATGGTCACTGGCCATTCCCTTAACTCGTACCAAATGACTCGATGGGATTATGCAAATAAGGGGCTTGCAGCTCACCAAGGGGATTGGATAGCTGACTAATGGAAGTAAGGTGCTTCGCATGCCTATAGAGCTATGACCACAAAATTAAGATGTGTGCAACTCTAAGGAGGAAATTGGTCGGTTGCCCTTCTATCAGGCTTAAAAAAGAGCCGTGGGGCCATCATGGAAGAGCAAAAAGTGTTCTTTGGACCTGGGGTCCTGGGCTGGAAGCCTCCCAAACCTGGGAGCCCAGCAAGCAGTACCACTGAACATGGCGAAGAGTGGCAGCAGAGAAATGGCACAGCCAAACCAAGAGTCCAGCAGGAGGCAGCACAGCAGATTCTTGATCCATGAGGTGAGTTTGTTTGAAGGCAAGCTGTTTGTTAGTGGCGGTGGGGTGTGTGTGTTTCTGGATACCCACAGGCTAGCTAGAGCTTTCTAATACTGGGCTGAGCAGAGCAGAGGGCAGACCAAGGGAGGCCTGCCTGTGGGCATATCCATGAAGGAGGCATCTTGATCTAAGAACTTGATTCATCCTTGGTGGTCTCTGACCTCCAAGTCTGCAGTGCCCCTAAACTTGAGTATTATTTGTGAGTTCTGGGCAGTCACCGCAGAGAAGTCGCGTGAGTGCCATAGGAAAGAGAACTGGCACAAAATGTAGCTAGAAGGTACGACCGAGCAATGTCCCACAGGCCAACAGCCTTTGGCGGTTGATCTTGATTCTCCTTCCCCTTATGCTAGAAAAGTCAGCCACCACCCCTACGCCATTTATACACTCTCACAAGTTCCACTTCAGACTGAAAAGGTCACAACTGTGACACCATCTTTATGTGTCTATATAAATATGCCTGCTTAACTTCTGGAATGCCTTTACATAATTGTAAAAGCTATATACCAAAAAAATTAGTCTTTTACATCTCTATGGCAGAATGACACTTGCTACACACATTGACTCACTATTTTCTAAGTGCCTATTATGGGTCAGACACAACTATAATCGACACCACCTGTGGTGTTTTCTAAACGTCCGATAACATGCATTCCTTTTGTAACAAAGAAAACGTTGTTACTTTTTAAAGCCAATATTTGGCACAGGAAGCAAAAGAAATTAGACACTTTAAATTCAGGCAAATGCTAATCTACAGCCATTGATTCAAGAAACATACTACTTAAAAAAAAATCAAACCCTTGATGTGTTTAAGTTAATGTTCTGCATCTCAACTATCTGTGATGGTATGATCTTGTTCCAACACTACATGACAAAAATATCAGGCACATGTATCAGCTAACACACTTGTTTGCTCCCCCACCCCCCAACACACCTTTCTACTGCTACAATGTACTTCTATCTTTGGCCCTCAATCTTCTTGCTGCTCTTAGAGCATCAACAGCAAGCAGCAGCAAGAGTAAGACTGACTTACGAGCACACTAATTCAAATATTAAGCTGCTGCAACTGATGTTCATGGGGGGTGTTGCATTAGCTGAATGAATGTGCCAAGACTGCAAGGGGCACAACAACCCAACATTTGGGTCACTTTACAAGAATCTAGCTACAGCATAGATAAACCTGCAAAGTATTAAGAACTCCTGCATTTTACCATCACTTTGGCAACCCCTGTTCAGAAGGAAGCCTTGTAGCAGTTGGTTACGTGACAGTGCTGCTAACCCTAAAGCCAGCGGTTTGAAACCACCAGCCACCCAGCGAGAGAAAGGTGAGGTTTTCTCCTCCTACAGTTACTGTGAATTGGAACTGACTTGCTGGCAGCTAGTTTGGGCCAGACAATTTGTTATTTCAACAGTTTCCTCTTTTAAAACACTGCAATCTTCAGTTCTTACTAATTTAGACTAGAGGCCTTCCATACGAGTCTAAAAACTGCGTTGGGGGGGGGGGCAAGAAAGAAAAAAAAACGCTAGCCTGTTAAATGTTTTCCCTCCACATCCAGCTTTAGTGCAAAGCCACAATGGCAACAAACCTTTCGGATAGTTGACAACATAGACCAGATTCCCCCAGCCGGCATCGGGGGCGTGCAGAATTCCCTCCACCAGCCGGACCCCTCTCATACACTGCGACACGGGGTTCCTGTAGCGCAGGCCACAGGCCCCCGGAAACTGGGCAGTCACGGTGGACAGGAGCACCGTGCCGTCATCCTCCGAGGGGATTTCAATGGGTTCGTCGTTCTCATCCTCGGTTACCCGAATATATTCAGACATCTTGCAAGCTTTCCTAAAAAGAAAGGGAGGCAGAGATAAATGGCCAAGCCTCATGCCAGGGTAACTTTCTGCTGAGCGCCCCCAAGGGGTAACCGTGCAGACCGGGGCCCTGGGGGCTGGGCGTAGCACACCCGGGGGGACGGGGGGACGGGACACCTACTATCAGAGCTGACCACCAGCGGGCCGACAGACCCACCCTCAGGTGGTCAGCGTCAGGGTTTTCTCCACTGGAGAATCGAAGGACTGAACGGGAGCGGGCCAGAAGAGTCAAAGTTCCCATCTGCTTTCTCACCGGGGCCTCCGCTGGCTCCTCGGAGCTACTGTCACACGGGCGGGCCTTGGAGACCAGGGCCGCCGCCTCCCGGAGACCAATGGGCGACGGGCGCGGGAGGAGTGCTTCCGCGCGGCCCGGGTGGGGCCGCAGGGGCCCCCAGCTAGGCTGGCAGCGTCCCCCGGGTCAAAGTCCGCGGAAAGCACTGCGGGGGCCCCGACGCCAGGCCTAGAGGCCACCTCGGGCGGCACGGGCCCGCGGCCCGCCTCTCGCGCGTATGGCCCCAACGCCGCTCCCGCCCAGCCGCTCCGCCGGACGAGGCAGGCCGGGCCCCACGGCTCCCTCCTCCGCGGGCGCCCAGACGGCCGCCCCAGACGGGGGGACGAACCCGTCGGCACCCCTGCGACTCACCTACCGCGCCGCCGCTCGGAAACTTGAACAGGAGACACGCAGCGAGGGCCTCGAGAGCTCCCAACTACCTCCTCGCTCGAACAAAATGGCGCTGGGGCCGCCTCCTCCCCCGCGCAGGCCGCCAGCCTCTCCCATCACCTCTCCGCCAAGAGGGGGAGGTCGCCTCGCAGACGCACCGCCACCCTCGCGGCAGCGAAGTGGGCCCCCTCTTCGGAGGCGCCGACTCCGCACACGCCGTGGAAGCTCCGGTAAGACCTACACCTGGCGCCGCAAAGTTCAAGGTGGAAAGAGCGTGGTGGCCTCGGCTTCGCTGACCACCCACGGAGCGTACCAAATGGTTCCGTCCATCCAACCGCCGGCCCCAGGTCTCGGCCGGAGCTCGCGCACTTGGAAAGCACGCGAGACTTCCGGTGGGGCGGGGCCAGGAAGAGCGGGCGGGGCCGGCTCAAACGGGGCGGGGCCTGGCGGGGGTGAAGCGAGAGTTCCTGCGTTCTGACCTGCGCCCGCCTTGGGAGAGTTCAGGTTGGTTTGGGTGGAAATCCAGCTGATGCGAGTTCTCCTCCCTCCGCGAGGCAACCTCCCATCCTGGAAAGAAGAACATTGCTTCTAAAATACTTATTAAGCAACAATAGCGCCTACGACGCCTGGTTCTCTCCAACTACTGTGCTTATGGTAATTACTAAATAGATTTTACAGATGAGGTAACTGGCCTGTACGCTCGGGCGTAGGGTCAGCCAGGCAGAGTTGGTGGCCATAGGATCCGAATCCGGAGGCACAAAATATTAATACTTGTTTGAAAAGACACGTTTCAGATTCTCCTGATCTGCTGCTTGCCTGTGTATAAAACCCTTATAGCCTGGATGCTATAGTTTGTTGGGCGCCCGTGAGTTGGATTTCCAACCCATAGCTGCCTCCTGTAGAGCTGCCCGCAGGGTTTTCCCGCTTTCCTTGCTTTCTGCCCCTGCATCTGTACAGGAGTACGTAGTTCACCAGGTCTTTCTCCCAGGAAGCTACTATGTGGCTGCACAACACCAACGATTGGTTAGCAGCTGAGCACTTACCCATTGGGTGTCTGCAGGCTCCATGACGCGTGGAGCCTGTACTATGTGGGGAGGCCAGAAGACGCCCACAGTAGAACCCCAGAGCTCGATGCTTCTGCGTTCTAGAGGGAGCATCAAGATGCGAGACAGTCAAGTTCCGAATCAGTTTTTCCCATAAGAACTAACTGAAAACGGATTAATCCGTTCTTGACCACCAAGTGTTTACCCTAATCTTGCCTTTTAATTTATTTAAATCATTTTATTGGTGGTTTGTACAACTCTTATCACAATCCATCCATCCATTGTGTC